GTGTGTGTGTGTGTGTGTGTGTGTGTGTGAGTGTGTGTGTGTGTGCGCGTGAGTGCGTGTGTGTGTGTGTGCGCGCGTGCGTGTGTGATACTTTTAGTTTTGTTTCTACTTAAATGTGTAGTTAGTCTCACTATATATGCTGTGGCTTACAAACAGCTGACATTTGAAGAGAAGACTCTTACAGAACCATGTAAGTTTGCATGCTTCTTAATAGGCTATAAACATTTTAATATAAATATAAAGTTGCTTTTGGGTTCTATACCAATTTTGTTTTTCTGGAAAACTAAACCAGTTAGTGATGTGGAGAGGAGTCCGTGTGTTTATGCTTCATTTATTTATTACTGCAATTGTGATGATTATGATTATGTTTATTAGTGCACTGTGAAGATTATTGTTGGTTTATCTTAAAGTAGGTCATCTTGCTGCCTTAAAATTAACACAAAGAAAAAGACTGGTTTGACCAATAGAAACTCCCATCTGAATTAATATGACAAAAATAAAAAAAGCGGTGATAAATCATAAAAATAATTTCTTATAGTGTGGGGTTATTAAATAATAATAAGCCTTGTTGGTCTAATTTAATAAAATGATGACATTTCCACAGAGGTGAATATATTCATTTGAACTTAAATTAGCTTAATTGTATCCTGATGAGTAAAATTCATCTTAATTTTCCATTTAATTTGATGTATTCTGTGATTTGTTGATCGGGCCAGTGCTGTTACTAATCAAACTAGTTTAAGTGATGTTTAAGAGTTTATAGAAGTTATGATGGTGTTTTTTGTGGTTATTATGCTGAAGAGAACATATGTAGTGCTATACCAGTCCTAGAATTCATTTATTTTATTATTATTTTAATTATTAATTACTTTACATGTAGTTTTAACCATTTATCCTCTTCAGTTAATATCAATAGCCAGCATAGCGCTTGTTCATGTTAAACGTAACTCTTTTAGCATGCAAATATATCAAACAAGTCACAAATGACGGCATCAGTGCTCAATAAAAGCAACAGTTCATGCATCCACCCACGACTTAATCACAAGCTCCTGTAACCACAAACACGTCAGCGTAACACGTTCTTTTCAATGCTAAACAGCTTTTATCATGCATGGATCAACGTGTCTCAAGTGAAAGTTATTAGTCTCAGGAAAGCATTGACCTGTATCTGTCACATAAAGCAGCTCCTCTGTGTTCTCCACAGGTTCAACTGCTTGTGTATTCTGCTGCTTTTGTGCCTTTTCAAAAACAGCGGTCAGTATACAGTCGTTCTTGTCATATTTAAATTTTAAAATTGTTAAATTATAACCATTCTTGGTATTCAGCATCAGCTGGAGTTGTTCTAGTTGATTGTTTCTTTGTTGCATCACTCGGTCAAGTGACTTTGTTTGACATTCTTTAGCATATTGTCATCACACACTATTTATTCATAGGAACTCAGTACAACTGCACTTGTACATCTGCTACAGCTTTATCCCACTGTCATCAACATCTGTAATGTCAAAACATGCATGGCACTACTAATATTGTTGGCTCCTGAATGCCTTTATTTATATATTTCTTAATCCAGTTGACTAAAATACCTCTGCTAGAACATTTGTGACCCTGGAGCACAAAAGCAGTGTTAAGTCGCTGGGGGATATTTGTAGCAATAGCCAACAATACATTGTTTGGGTCAAAATTATAAATGTTTCTTTTATGCCAAAATCATTAGGATATTAAGTAAATATCATGTTCCATGAAGATATTTTGTAAGTGTCCTACCGTAAATATATCAAAACTTAATTTTTGATTAGTAAAATTGACCCTTATGACTGGTTTTGTGCTCCAGGATCACATTTAAAAATGACGATTACAGAGAATAGAGAGAAAGACCACATGTACTTTTCAGTACTGAATGCATATTATACTCTCTTTTTTTTTTTGCAGGAACCTCCCCAACACTTAAGGTAGGGATAAAAGGAGGCAACGTCACACTGCCATGTCAATATGATGGCAGTGAGATCCCTGAAATTGATTTGAGTCGGTCAGAAAACATCAGCGTCTGTCAGACTGAAGAGTGTAGTTGCAGAGTGTGTAAGAAAGGAGCCTGTGACGTCGTCATCAAGGACCTGAGCTTCAGTGATGCTGGGACGTACATTTTGAGAGTCTATTATCGCAATGATCAGGCAGAGCTGGAGCCACAAATCAGGATGTACCAACTTTGTGTCGATGGTAAAGTCAAAACTGATCAAATTATCAGCATGCTTTCTGGTTTTCTTTGAGTAATTGTGTTGATGTTGCATTTAAGAGACCCTGAATGGATATGGGTTTTCCTATCGCTGATTTTAAAATGTGACCCTGGAGCACAAAACCAGTCATAAAGGTCAATTTTTCAAAATTGAGATTTATGCATCATCTGAAAGCTGAATAAACACTTTCCATTGATGTGTGGTTTGTTAGGAGGACAATATTTGGCCGAGATACAACTATTTGAAAATCTGGAATCTGAGGGTGCAAAAAAATCTAATTATTGAGAAAATCATCTTTAAAGTTGTTCAAATAAAGTTCTTAGCAATGCATATTACTAATCAAAAATTACGTTTTGATATATTTATGGTAGGAAATGTACAGAATATCTTCATGGAACATGATCTTTACTTAATATCCTAATGATTTTTGGCATAAAAGAGAAATGTATAATTTTGACCCATACAATGTATTGTTGGCTATTGCTACAAATATCCCCCAGCGACTTAACACTGCTTTTGTGCTGCAGGGACACATATGATTATATTTGTCCCTCTAGTCCTAAATATTTTCTTATGGCTTCAATTGATTATAATAGTGATTAATGTCTTTGTGTTTCTCCTCAGATGAGATTTCTGTGAAAACAGGTGAGGAGCTGAAGTTGGATGTTCTGTTGTCAAACGCTGATAAAGTTCAGCATCAGAACAGAAGAAGCATAGGTTGGAGAGATGATTGGAGCAAAACTGATGGAGTTCAGAGCGAACGTATCACCATCAGAGATAGAAACCTGATCATTGATGAGTTTAGACCCAGAGACGCAGGATCATACAGAGTTCTGGACCCTGAAGGAGAAATCTTGATCACAGTGAAAGTCAGAGGTGAGAGAAACTCTGTTTAAATCCACTTGCACCGCTGAGGTTTATTCATCATGAGCTGAACAGCAAATTGATGCTAAACTGTGACTGATCTCTCAATATCCTCTACAGCTGAAAAACTGAACTGACAAGAACTGATGACACAAGACGTGTTCAGAGTCATGTAACGTTCAGTGCACAATGTTAGTGTTTCAGGGCACAACAGTACTAGTATCGGATGCTGCTGTTTTGCACATTGTAATTTAATTATTTATTATACTGTACAGCACGTATTATTCCATTTGGAATAATTCATGTGAAATAGTTTGGGTTTTGAGCATTTCACTATAACGTTCAGTTTGATGTTTTATATTATTTAAGGTTTTTATACTGAACATAATATAATTACACTGAATAATTTAAGTGATATTTCATAACAGGTCAAAACATTGCCAAATTTGGCTGTGTTATTAACCTTTTCTGCATTGTATAACCGGCCCAGCTGTTGTAACTTCAATGGACAAGGCCTACGGTTTCAATCGCTTTCAGTTATCCATAGCAGATGCATGCTAGTTATGCTGCATTATACTGCAAATGGGCATGTCTTACATTATTTCAATGTATTGCTGTAATTACTGTATAAGCACACTGGTTTGTACAGTTTATTGCACTTTGATATTCGTCTAGTTATTCACCTAAAAGTCTCATGCACTCAGAAAACCACTTCTGTGCTGCAAAGTAAGATGAATAAAAGCTAGACGTGGTACTAAACAAGGACTGGCTCTTTCATTTGCAGGCTCCAGTCCTTCCTAGTACAGGATTGTCTAAGTAGGTACTACATTATTTATAGCTTACTTTATGACTGTTAGAAAAGTGTGTTCATGTAATCTGAATGTACAGCATCTGTCATGTTGTCGTTGTTATGTGATAGCATTTCACAAAAACATATGGCATGATTTACTTTGGTCATTCAACAATATTCCAATGTAATGGAACCATAAAATCACATTATGCCTAAAGAAAATGTGTACAAAATTCCCTCGTGTTAAAAGTATGCACGGAGTCCACATACACACAGAGACTTACAAACAGGCCTAACTGCAATATGAAAGAAATCAAAGCAGCCTAAGCCTTATAGGCTGATTAAAATTCACTTTTCAAAGTCACGATTTCTGGCAACTCGATCTATTGAAGTTCAAGTTCTATGTTTTACACAACTGCAGTTTTTACATGTAGAGAATGAACGCAAGAGGACCAGCAAACATGTTTTATTGCACATTATGTATTATTTAAAGAAGCATTATTATGTCCATATAAGCTGAGTTAAAAAAAAAAAATAATGTCATGTTTTATGGCACATAAAGCTTGATTAAATAAAAATGTCTTCAATGTTAAATGTGTCTGAGAATTGTGATTGTTCAAGTTCTAAGTTTTACACAACTGCAGTTTTTACATGTAGAGAATGAACGCAAGAGGACCAGCAAACATGTTTTATTGCACATTATGTATTATTTAAAGAAGCATTATTATGTCCATATAAGCTGAGTTAAAAAAAAAAATAATGTCATGTTTTATGGCACATAAAGCTTGATTAAATAAAAATGTCTTCAATGTTAAATGTGTCTGAGAATTGTGATAAATAAACAACAGTAAAACAAAGAAATTATGTGTTTGTGCATTTTCTGTCAGAAAACCTGATCGTTAGCAATGCTTAACCTCTTCAAACACAACTGTAGATTGTTCCGTGAAATAAAAAAAAAACAATGGTTTCACATCATTTAGTGCATTAAGATGATGCAACTAAAGCCACAAAATATGAGGTGAAAATAAACCGACTATTACTGGCATTAGAAGAAGGGTGTTGCTCTAGATCGATCGATCGATCGATCGATAGATAGATAGATAGATAGATAGATAGATAGATAGATAGATAGATAGATAGAGACAGACAGACAGACAGAGACAGACAGACAGATAGAGAGACAGACAGACAGACAGATAGAGAGAGAGAGAGAGAGCATTTGATTCTATTTGGCACGACAGATTATATTATAAGCTTTTACAAAGTGACGTTTTTGACATTATAAAATCAATGTATTCAAACAACAAATGTGCAATCCGCATTGGCAACAAACATACAGAATTCTTCACCCAGAAAAGAGGAGTGCAGCAGGGCTGTAGCCTGAGTCCAACACTGTTCAACATTTACATTAATGAATTAGCGGTGCAGCTGGAACAGTCTACAGCCCCTGGACTCACTCTACAAGACAAAAACATCAAGCTTTTGCTGTATGCAGATGATCTGGTGCTGCTGTCATCCACCCCACAGGGACTACAGCAGCACCTGGACCTGCTGCACAACTACTGCCAGGTATTTATGTGTGTTTCTATGTAAGTTAAAGTCTGTGGTATCAATCAAATGTTCACATGTTATAATTTGTTACAGTTTAATACATTATAATATTCCAATATATTACTGTGATGTTAATTTACTTATTATTATTGTTATTATATTATTATTTTGATCTTTTTGTACATGTATACTAAGCTTTGGCAATATTGTATAATTTACAGTCATGCCAATAAAGCAGTTTTGAATTGAATTGAATTGAGAGAGAGAGAGAGAGAGAGAGAGAGAGAGAGAGAGAGAGATATCTAGAGTTATATTCGCGCTGTAATAAGTCAAGCTGTTTCTCGGTGGCTTCGATTTTAATCTGCCTTTTTAAAAAAAAAAGGTTGATTTTAAATGCAATTTACTTGTGGATATTATTTTATTTCATCATGCATTTTTAGCAAGTTGTTAAATTGCGTACATGTTACCGAAGGTCAGGAAATACACGCACGCATGGACGTCACATCGTCATTACGGCATGCGTGCGTCGCGTGCGTACAGCCCGGCTAGCTCAGTCGGTAGAGCATGAGACTCTTAATCTCAGGGTCGTGGGTTCGAGCCCCACGTTGGGCGGAAAGTTTTTATCGTGTTTTCTGTCTGTGTTTTCTCTCAGACTCTGTGGCCTGGTCTGTGGCTCTGCGGGACGGGGTGGTTCTGAAGGCGGTAGCTGTGGATGTTCTCCTTCTGGTCCTCTTCAGTCTGCAGCACAGTCTGCTGGCCAGGACTCCGGTTAAGCGAGTGTGTCAGAATGTGTTTGGGGTTTTGTCCAGATCCGTGTACTGCTTCACCACCGCCGTAGCACTGCAGGTATATCTCTGTTAATGCACCGTGCTGGATATATTAGTGCTGGGCGGTATACCGAATACCGGTGTTTATTTTTGTTATGATATGAATTTATTAAATACCTTGACACTGTTTGAAAGGGGTCTCTTTTCACTGCTGCACTGTGGTGAGGGAGCAGCTGTATGTGTTACTAAGCGTGAAAGCTCAGAAACTGAAGCTGTAGAACTAATAGAACGTGATGACACAGAAGAACTCATCCACAATATCCACAAATATCCAGCACCCGCTGCCATCAGCTCCCGCGTCTCACACACACACACACACACACGAGCGTGACTTTAGCACTAGATTTAGCAACTTTCAGACCCTTTTAGTGGCTTTTTCCAGAGAATATTATAAGAGTAATCTAGCCAAAACAACCACATAGTGTAGATGCATGTTGATTTTATCAGATGATGCTGTGATTATAAATGAGAGTGACTCCTGGTTAACATGTATTAAAAGGGGTCGTGTTTAGTCACTATTTAGTGTGGTATTTTTTGACAATATTCACTCATCATGACAGTAAAATAGGGCATTCTAAGTCAATATACTGCAGTGTTTCCTCTCAATCAGTAGAAAATATGGTTAACACCCGCTCATGCATGACAAAAAAATACCATCATGTACCGTGAAACCGGTATAATTTTGAAAAACACCGTGATATTAATTTTTGGTCATACCGCCCAGCACTAATATATATTGCAAACTGCCTGATTTTCTTAAAAACTAGTATGCGAAACAGTATGCAACAATAAACGTTTCTGACATTAGTATGCTACATGACCGCATTATAGGCATATTTACTTCTGCAAGTGGTGTACAGTTATAATAATAGAAATAAATAGAGCTATTTTGCTTTTTTTTTATTTGTGGGATTTAGTATTTTCAGTCTTGCCGTTGATAAGTTATATAAATAAGTATAAAGACTTAAGTATAAAATTTGAAGAATATTTAGTTTCTCTTATGTTACATTTTTTTGCACGCTATAGTACTGTACATTTAGATTATTATTATTATTTTTTTTTAATTTACTCATTTTTATTTTTAATCAAATGTATTATTTAAATAAAACATTATTTAGTAATTTAGTCCATTATTTTTATTTTAATCACATTTATTTTAATTTAAATATAATGTTATGTATTATTTTAATCAATTATGGATTAATTTATACAAAAGTTATATATTTATAATGTATAGTTATATATTATTTAATAAAAAAAATATATATACATTTTACTTAATGTTTTTCTTTCTTTTTTCCCACTCTGTTTTTCTCTAAACTTTTCCACATATCCTTCTAGCACTCTCTTCTAAAAAAACAACCCTGTAAACCCCTAAGAAACATTTGTAATTAAATAACTTGGCAATTCATTTAATAACACAAACCATAACTATAAATTCTGCTCTAACTGTAATCTTAATCTCTGTAGATATTGATGCACTACTGGCAGCCGGTCACCAGCGCCCCCTGCCTGTGGTCAGTGCGCAATGCACCCTGGGATATCTGGTTCCCGCTCATCTGTTTTATCTTACACTTCCTGTGCTGGGCCATAATCTGCAGCATCCTGCTCATCTTCGACTATCCAGAACTGCTGGGCATCAAACAGGTACATATGCATCTACAATAAGCATTTAGAACAACAAAAGCGATATTTTATATCATATTTGAAATGCACATTTCTAAGGCCTCTAAATGTTCAAAACGTTGCTGTTAAACCTGTTGCACACAATCTACTACATGCCTTCCGTCATGTTTATCCAGTCAAAGCTCTTTTAGTGTAATTGTACAAACGTCCAGCTTCAGCTCGTGTGTTTCTGCGGTCAAATCTTGACTGATTTGTATCAAGTAAGCATCAGAATAACTGCAGTAATATCTCCAGATGAACTCTTACTGGACTGAAGCAGCTCAGCTTTACTTGATTCTCCATCAATCATGTTTTAGAGTCTCAAATCTGATCCTCAGGATCTTTTGAGGAGCGTTTGTTTCCAGCAGCTTTACTTTCAGTGTTCCTCAGCGGAGGAATGATCTTCACAAGCCTCCAGAACATCTCACATCTTCTGAGGAGCCTTGATTTCTTCAGCTCTCCATCACTGCGTTATATGTTTGGATCATTTCAATCTCTTCTTACGGAGACATATTATTGGAGATATAGAGACGACTGATATTTAGATCATTTTATGTCAGTATCTGCTCTACTGTTAGAAACATCTCATTGATTTACATTACAAGCATAAGAATTGATTTAAATATCAGCATCTGCACCAAATTGCATATTTTGCACTTTATATTTCATATAGCATTTATTTTTTCACCAATTTGCACATTGTAAGTCATCTCTCCTCTGTGTTTGTCAGGTGTATTATGAGTGTCTGGGTCTGGGCGACCCTCTCCTGCTGAAGTCTGAGCGTGCGCAGCGGCTCTACGCTCACCTCAGGCATCCCGTCTGTGTGGAGCTGCTCACGGTGCTCTGGCTCCTCCCCACGTTCCCGCTGGACCGGCTCCTGCTGGCTGTGTACCTGTCCGTTTACCTGATCCTCGCTCACTCGCTGGACACCCAGGACTGCACTTACCTGCGCCGGCAGCTGCGCAGCAAACTGCAGCTCTTCTCCGCACCACTAGAGGGCAGCGATCAGAGCAGCAACACGCATAAGACAGACTGAATGACAGGCATGGTCAAATAAGAGTGTAGTGCTGCCTTCAAGTTGTTACCTAGAAAACCAGAAGTCACTAAACCACGTTTAGTCATTTTCATATTTCTTTATATTCAAAAAGCCAGGCAGATGTTACCACTAGTGCAACCGAATGAACGAGAAGTGATGCAAATGTAGTGTGTGTGTGTAACGGAGGCTTTATCTGTGCGTTTCATCATTTATGTGCTGCTGCAGAGAACGATGAGAAATGTACAGTAGTTTTGTTGCACAAGCCTCTTGCCTCAAAAACCAACTATCTTGTAGTTCTTCACCAGTACACAAATGCACACAAACTAAATTGTGCTGTTAACAGTTAAAACGTCTTATAATCAAAAAATCTATTTGCTTGCACCTTGATTCTTTAATTGTCCTGACACTTTTCGACTTTGGGTGGCATAAATGTGGTCGTACTGATGTGACTTGAAGGCAGCATTACAATTAAAGCTATATTTGGAATGAAATACTAGAATACGGCACAATATACACTATAAACCTTCCAAAATATATTTTTTAAGTACTTTAAAAAGAAACATTATTTGCATGCATCAATTGCAAATGCAAAATGTGACGACAAATGCAGCATATTGCATTTCTAATCATAACTATGCATTTTTAATGGTGAAAT